TTTCCTCAACACTTCCCCATTTCTACACTGAGGGAAAAACAAATGTTGAGTCTTTTTTTTCCTCTTCTTCCTCCTGTTTGAAACATTAAGAGCTCTTCACACAAAGCAGCTCAAGTGCAGAGGAATTAATTGGGGAAATTAGGTTGTGTTGTATTTCTGGCATTTTCTCAGAAATGGTAATTGCCCTAATTCTCCACCCTGCCAAGACCTCCACCCGCACCCTGTTTCCCCCCTCCCCTTTTCCTCACTGTCTACCTGTCTTTCTCCTGCCTGAGTTGCTGTTTTCATGCTGTTGCCATTTATTTCATTTCAGTAATGAGAGGGATGTGGCAGGTGAAGAGCTCTTACAATCTGGTGACATCTTTGAAGCACAGGCACAAAAGAGCAGTTTGTTTTTTGGGAAATAAAAACTCCCTGCTATGGTACTTGACCTCCACGCTCACCTCTTCTCCTGCTTGGGATATGTTGCAGCTGCATTGCAAGTCATTTGGCTCAGATTTTTTGTTTAATATAGTCTCAATATTCACCCAAACACTGACCTCCATGCTTAACTCCTCCATGTTCCCTCCAAACCACCCAAACCCTCACACACTTACTGAGAGCTAATCAAACTTACGATCTTTCAATCAAAGCTCAGGCTCATTCCCAGACGTTTGAATTGAGGCTTTTGCTTTCTCCCAAGCATTGGACTGAGCTCCAGAGAGCTGGGAGTTCAAAGCCTTTCAGTTTAGCTTCCTGATGTTTTTTAACTCCTGACCTTCCATTTGCAGAGATCATAGATGTAGTCAAATAGGAAGGAATTGTTTGTTGTCCAGTACTTCCTGACCTAAAAGACCTGGCAGGTTCAGATCCAAGAGAGACGCTACAGTGGATAGTAAAGTGGTGGGACTCCTTGTCTCAGGAGATGGTAGGTGCCAAGAGCTGAGAAGGGTTGAAAAAGTGACTGAAAAGACTTGTAGAAGGTTAAGTATTCTATCAGGGGCTGTCAAACACAAAATACCTCTCCTGTTTCAGGAAATCCCTGTACCACTGATTATTGAGGACTGGAAGATATTGTGGGACATATGCTGTGGGTTCTTCTGTTTCCATACTCTCCTCTATGCATCTCTGGATGAGGTCAGGGTCCCAGCTGCCTGGACTTTGGCTGCTCTTAAAAGCTGTCCAGGCTGATCTCTGCTTTAATGGGAGCTGGGGAGAGAGCTGGGAGTAACAAATCAAATGCTGGACCCAGCTGAGGGGTAGTGACACTGTCCCCAAGAAGTCAGAGACTGAGTTCAATTCAGAAAGCTGGGATTGTTTCTCCACATAGCCAAACTACCCAAGCCTGTTCACCTCTGCTGTGAAAACTTGAGACAGCAAGTTTCCTATAGGGATTTCAAGAGCCCTTTCCTTCAAAGCAATTCCCTTCCCATAGAACTTAACTAGGGAAGGCAGGACTCTCTTCCATTTTCAGTGTTCCCTGGGTGCAGCCAACAGATCCAGAAAGGGTGATCCCCACCCGTCCTTGAGTAGTTTTTTCCTCCCATTGACTGTGAAACTGTTTTTTTCCCCTGATTTAATTTGTATTGTCCAAGTGTGGTTCCCAGTCACCTGCTAGAGGCTGCATGCATGCAATGTGCTCCCTTCCTCCCGTGCTTCCCACTCTGAACATCCATTAGCCTGAAAGCTGTGAAATACATGGAAAAGAGCACAGTGCCTAGTTTTGAGCCAGGGAGACTCTCCCATGGTGGAGATCCAGCCAAAACATGTTCCTCTGTGGTGTCACCAGAAACAAGGATTTTGTACAGGGCAGAAGAAGGCAGAAGGTAGAGCAGAAGAAAGTGGAGAAACATATGCCAGTGAGCTTCATTATTCTAGCCCTAGCTGGACCAGAAACAGTGTGTGTCCTCCTGAGTGTATGGAAACGAACCATTCGCGCTTTGGAAGGAGCACTGCCACTTACAATCGCGGGAGACTTGGGTGTGTAAAACCCTCCCCCCTCATCTTCTCTATGTTGTTGGACCCATTTCCCCACTGCATCCCAGCTGGCCAGTGGCCTCCTCCTGCCTTCCCACCTGCAGGACCATGATCTCAGCTCTCCTTTACCATGGGGACAGCCATGAGATCACACATCAGTTGAAAAAGGTGGGGAACATCCCCAAACCTCAGTATGATCAGCAAAAGAACTGAAAGCAGAGAAGTTATAAGCCAGTTTAGTGGGAGCATGGATAAATTATGACTTGGCTTACTTTTTTTTTTTCTGATTTTTGGCATGGAGTAGTGACTTTTTGAGTGAGATAGATAGACTCAAAGGTTTTCCCCAGTTTGAAAAGCCTTGCTTCAAGACAAAATTAAGACCTCCCTAGAAAAATTAAGATGCAAATATCTTCATTGTCCTCCTTAATTAAGACATTTGCATGGAGAGAAACCATTACCTTTCTTTTTTCCTCCTGATTCCTACATGGTCAGAATTTCCACGGGCTTTCCCCCTCCTGATCCCACCCTGTTTCATAGTCCTGCCTCTCTCACAGCCACAGCGAGCTCCTTCTCTACGCCAGCTGGATGGAGAAAGCCCCTATTTGCAAGCAGCTGTCTTTAATAAACAGGCTGTTTAGGGCTAGGCTGTCAAAGAGAGCATGTTCAGTGTACAATCAAGGGGCAACGATGCACAAAATTGCACACACACACAAAATAGGAATCTTTTCTCGGTGTGTGTTGAGCTTTGAACGCTTAAGTGATTCCACCTCTCCATTTCCCATCCAATTATGTGGGCAACACATGGTAAGATTGCTAAAGGAATTAGTGAGGGAAATCTTTACACTGCCTAATCGATATTGTTCTGCTCAGTACAAGGCATCTCCCCCCCCTCTGGCCCCAGTCGTGTTCTCATTTGCCCTCTGAAAACACAAGTTCACCTCGCTATTTGGGCTGTGGTGAACAAGAGGAAAAACAGCAACATGTCTGTTGAAAATGTTCGTAGTTACAGAGTTCCTTCCTTGCATTAAAAAAAAAAAAAAAGATGTAATATAGCCCTGACAAAATGACATTTCAGGGTTTTAAAGTGGCTTCCTGTGCAGGCCAGAAAGACCTTTCCTCTGTTACAGCTATATGGCCTTACAGAAATGGCCAGCAACCTTATAAGCAAAGACATGGATGATAATTTTTCTGAGCATCACTGAGGCAAGATGCCAGATTTTATGGGCCACTAGACTGATCCAATATAGCAAATCCTGTGTTCCACTGTGGATTCTGAGACCAAATTATCAATTAATGTGAAGCATTAAAAAATCCAAATCCCTTTTAGTTCCCTGCAGTCATTAGTGACAAGATACAATATCTATAGCTCAAATGCTTTGCCAGCATCCCCTGGTAGCAAGGCAGAAACTCCACTCCTATTTTTTCCAATACATACAAGGAAAACATATGAGATCAGTGGTTTTTACAGTCAGATTCGGCTGCCTCTTCATATTTACTTAGATGGAGGAATAAATCAGGTTTGGGTTACTCTTTGGGTTAGTTATTTGTTATTGGAATAAATGCATGGTAATAGATCTGACAGAGGAAGATGTTTCTCTTTCAGCTCTGTGTTTGAGGTAGAATTTGCTTTGTTCTGCACTATATTATATTGATGTTTTTTTCCCACTGCTGGATGACTTCATTTGCTCTGCTTCTTTCCAATGTCCATACCTCTGCCACAGCTGGCTTTAGGATGCAGCTTTATGCAATAGATCTCTCTTTTCTTTTTCCCTAACTGTAACATTGTAATGCAGAGACAATTTAAACAACCATCATGAAACAATTTTCTAAGCCTTTCCCCCACCCTTTTCCTACCTCAGCTTTTTGGGAAGGGAGGTGAGTCAGTCATTCACGGGGCAATTCCCCAAGCAGAATGAGCTGTCTGCTACATTTACCAGCTCAATTTTCACCTCTGGTGCGGGGCGGGAAGGCGCCCAGGGTGATGACTAGCTGGGCACACCCTGAGGCCTTATTTTTGGTATTCCCCAGGCAGCTGTCAGCCTGAGCTCCTAAGTAGCACAGCCAGAAGTCTCCCCGCAAACCACCATGCTCACCAACTGCCTTTTTGTCTTGGGATTTTGTCTCCTTTTTGTCCCGGTGGGAACACAAACGCCTTACTAGAAAGTCAGCGGACCTTATGCTTGTCATTCACTCTTAATTTGCACGCTGAGATCCCTACCCCTTCTCCTCCCTCTCGTTCCCCAAATCCTTCCTACTTTGATACATGGGAAAAAGTATGGCTGCATTTTCTGCTCCATCATTTCACTTCCCTTGTCCCCTCCTAAGGTTCAGTTTCGCGAGTGCTGGCAGGTTTGTGGGTGATCGGAAGCTGTGGGATGAGTTTTTTTCTTCCTCTCCCAAACTGCAACAGTACTGATGGGACAAAGACTTTTGGGGAAGCATAGGATGCTGTACCAGGTTCTTCACTGGGACATCTGGCCAACGATGCCCTTAACTCTGGCTAACCCAAGCTTACTTGAATAAAGACATCAGGCCTGGGTCTTGTTCTGCTGGCAGAGCCAGATGGGTCCCTGCACTGTGCCCAGGAGGACTGGCGATGGCCAAGGAGCAGGATGCTTAAGTACCAGATGCAGAGGAACTGCTCAACCCTCCTGAAACTTCTCCTGCCAGAGAGGGACTCCGGGTCCCCAAGGGATGTGGCTTCACAGTCCAAGGAGAAATTTCAGGAAGCCAGAGCACCCTGTGACTCTCGCCCAGCACCAGTGCTGACCCCTTGCCCTCCCTCTATACTGGTGCAGGTGATGGTGTGGGGTGCAAGGTGGTGGTGACCAAGGCCAGGGGGTCTCACCTGCCCTGTGCCCTCGCAGCAAGGGTTGTGCAGTGTTGGGATGTTGTAGCCAGTGAAAGACGTACGGTTCAGTTAAAGACATACCCTTTCCCTTCTTGTCCCCTTGCTTCATCCCCCCCCATCCCTCCCTCCCTCTCTCACCCTTCCCTTCTCTTTTGTTTGTCTCCTTCCCTTGTTTTCACCCATTCACTGTCAGGAAGGGCCGCGTCCGAAGGGCCAGTTCGGCGCAGCGTGGCAGCGACAGAGACTGGCACCGCCGGCAGCTGCAACAGTGAGTGGATCTCGACCCCTGGGGCAGCTGGAAGCGGGGGACTGGTGCTGCTTGAGCATGAAATGACACGTGGGGTTGAGCGGCTTTGGGACTAGGTCGGGTCTAGTGCATTTGGAAGAGAAGGGGCTCTCGTGTGTGGTGGACACTGCATATGTTTCTACTATAGCAGCTCTGGGGTTTGTCTGTATGGTGAGATAATATGAGATGAATGCAAAAGTCCTCAGTGCAGTCTTCCTCCGTGGGTGTTCAGGCTGTGTCTGCACTAGTGGACAGTGTGGGTGGCAGCAAGTGCAGCATGGTTTGTCTCTGTGCAGCTAAACCGCTCCGTGCCTCCAAGGAGGGTGGCATTTGCACTGCTCACTGGGAACTGTCCTTGACTTGTGTTGTCCTCTCAACAGTTGTTTGGATTCTGTCAAATTGGCGTGGACTAAAACCAAACCATTAGAACAGTTGGACTGCCACATGCCAGCCCTGAAGCCTTTTGTCAGCTAGTCTAGACACAGCCTCGATGTCTGACCGGTTGGGTGTTTGCAGCCGCGATTGAGTAGATGTCAACCATCACTGCCCCATGGCTCCTCCCATCCCTTGCCCCGTGGAATGGCAGTGGGAGATCAGTGTGGGTTCGATGCTCTGGCAGTGCAAAGGAGTTTGCGTTTGCCAAGGTGGTGGCTGATGGGAACCGTGTGAGCCAGCTGAGGGCTGGTAACACCTCTGTTCACCCTGCCCTCCCTTCCACAGAGGCGAGCCATCATCCCGTTGTGCTTGCTGCATGCTGGAGCCTCTGTGTAGGGATGCTCAGCCCAGTGGGTCCCCAGCTGTCACAGAATCCCAGAAGCTACCGCCAGCAAGCTGCAAGGCTACTGGAGGTGAGCTGCAGAAGCCTGTGAGAGGGGCAAACATTGAACTTGACTGTCTTGTGTGATTTTGCTTCTGGCACACAAGGAAGTGCTCTGTTGATCCAGAAAGTTTGGGAGCCTTTGCTTGAGTCCGTTTTGGAAGTGGATTGAGCTAATCCACCCAAAGACATTGTCTGTGCAGAGCAGTTATGACCCCTCATAAGTTAAGGCAGGAAAGTGATTGCTTCCACACTTTATTTCTCAATAGCTTCCTTGTGCCAGCAAGCCCAGAGAGATGGACATAAATATTTGTAAAGTAGCCATGACTGGGACAAATTAACAGGGTCCAATTGCCCAAACCTCCCTGTGACATTGCTAGGTGAGGTGTATGCTCCTGGCCAGGTGCTGAAGGACTAGCTGTTCCACCACCCAGCCTCCTCCCAGCATCACCACCACTCCTCCTGCCCCGGCAACGACGGGGATTAAGTGGATGCCTACGTGGTGTTAAGCAGCTGAGTGGATCTTGCAAAGCCCTCCTGGGATCCGTGACGGAGCAGGGCTCTGGCAGTTCCTGGTGCCAGAATCACACAGGAGTGTGAGTTTAGATATCGCTGATTTTACAGGGGATATGTCAGTGGATAAGAAGACGTGCCACCGAAAGGTGATTTTGTTACGTTTATGCCTTTCTGAGCCAAAATTGAATTGCGGGGTGTGGATGGGAATTTAGTTCTAAGCACTGATGTAATTTTGTATCCTCAGCCCTGAAGGCAGTTTTTAAAAAATTATTTTCCCCTGTGCCCTGACACTATTTTTTTGCCTTTCAATCATGTCCTTGTGACAGAACAAATACTGGGGTTGACCTTTGCAATGTGACATAATAATATGTGACTTCTTTATAGCTCTTTTCATCCAAAATGCTTGGCACACTATGAATCTGATCCTGCAACCACTTACCACTGGGTTTAGCACTCACTGCTCCAAGCAAGCCGTGGGAAGCCAGAGGAGCACTCACACACAGAAGTGTTATACCTGGTATTATTTGCAGGATCAGGCCCTGGTGAAATGTAGCACATATCTGTGAATAGCCACATTTTGGAGAGAGAAAGCCTTGCCCTCTCATTTATGATTTTTATTCACTATCAGAGTGCCATGCCCAGCACTAACATGACAGCCTCCCCTTGGCTAAAATGTCATGGCAGGTAATGATTGAGTCATATTTATAGCTATCATCTGTGACCGTGTTGCTTTTTTTTATTATTTTTTTCCCAGCCCTGAAAGCATGCTAATTAATAAACTCCCTGTGCTTATCCTGCACCATTTGATCCTGCAGAATCACAGTGTTTTATCTTATTAGCAAGTAGGAATTAAAGAATTAAAACTACTCAGGGGGGAAAAAGGAACATAACCACTCTCCCTTTGCATCCCTTCTGAAACAACCTTGCACTGTGCCCTCAGAAACCCCAAGCTCAGCCCCCTTGGCTTGACAGAGGATGGGAATCCCAGACCAGTGAATGCCTGGGCTGAAAAACACTTTCTACTCTGCTATTCCTGTCTGAAAGGGTGAGCTCAGTTAGGTGTACGGAGAAGAAGAAGAGTCCAGCAGTGAGATCCCAGCCTTGGACTGGGCTGCAGGTCCCGTCCATGCTACCGATGTCCTCTGTTGCCATAGGAAATTCAGTTAGTCTTTCTGTGCCTCAGTTTCCTGTTGTTAAAAGGTGATCCCTGCTCATCTTCACTGAGGAGATTCACATGAAAAAAAGATTGCAAGGGACACAGTCATTATGGTGTTGGGAGACAGGTAAGTACCTTAGAAATACCTAGGGAACCTGTGAGCTGAGACATTTGTGGTACTGGTTCAAGGAGAGTGAATTTTGGAAGTCCTCAGTAGTTGGAAAATGCAAAGAGGGAAGCAGGTAGGATCCTTGTGCCCACCTCTGCTTGGTGTGTTCAGGATGGGCAGAACCAGGAGAAAGACCTGCTCCACCTTCTTGGTGATGGGAAGTGGTTAAATCTGGGGATGGAGATCCGCTAACCATTAGCAGGTATCTACACACTTTGCCATTGTTTGCCATCAGTAGAGCACTGCATCCCCCCACCCTTAAAAAATAATTCAATTAGGAGTAGAGAGGGCTAGAAGGGATTCCCTGGATCATCAAATCCTATCCCCTGTTCCATCAATCACATCAGATTTATCCTTTTCATAATCAAGCACCACTATTAAATGTGGTCCTAAGGGAAGAAAGTCCCAGAATCTCATTGCTTTAACTTGTAGATACTTCTAATTTGCAGTCTCTGCTTAGTCATGACCCGTTTGTTAAACAGCAGGTACCTGGCACAGAAGCAAGAAATTTAACACAGTTTTCTTAAAATAACCACCCAGAAATCCTATCCACAAAAAAATGCTGAGGTTGCAGAAGGGAACGTGCAAGGTCAGGTAATGATAATGGGGAGGCCCGGGCTCACACTTGCCTCTGCCTTGTAGTACAGACTTTACATAATCACCTGCCGTTAATCTTATATGATCCAGTTGAGGTACCGGGCAAAAGTACTCACAGAACAAAGGAACTTCTTTGCTATTCTTCTCCATAATATTCATTGCATAACCCTCTGTTTCTTTTGCCAGGATAACTAACCCTGAGCTAACTGTTTGACTATTTTTCCCTTTCTTGGCAGGCTTTTCCATGCCATTTATTACTTTACTGTACAAGTCACTACCTGCACAGCATCTTTGAGAAGTCAGTGAGTTGCATTGCCCCGTTTTACAGGTTAGAAAATGAAGCACAGAGCTATCAGCCATATCAACCCACAGAGCTGCAAGGGCAACTTTCGTTCTCCAGAATGCCCCTGCTTTATTCAGTGCAGTCTTACTCACTCCAAACCATGCAATTGCTACCCAGCCAGAGGAAAGGGGCTGCTGCAGCCATCTGCATTGTGGCACACAGTGTACGTTGCATGCCATGGAAATGATGGGATGCTCTAGACCCATGACTTGCTTTACAGTCTTGTCCAGTTAGTTAATCGGAGTGTGCACTGAATGAGGGGGGAAAGAACTAGGTGAGTATAGGCAAAATCTCTGTGTTACCCGTTACAGCACCCATTAGTTGTGACCCAGCCCATAGAGGGCAATGGCATGGAGTTGTACACACTTAGATCAGGCCACTGCCGCACATCATAATCAGCCAGAGTGACTAAGGAGGAGGGCTCACTTGACAAAAACAGGTTTGCAGCTAGGACGCCGAAATCCCATGTTTGCTTATTTAACTTGGCAGGTATTCAAGTGAAACAGGCATGGAGGGGAGGTGTCAGAGCTGATCTCGGTACCAGCGTGGGGGAATTTGACTTTCTATTTCAGTGCTCCTGTTTGGAAAAGAAATGCACTCAGAAACCTCCCCCCCCCCCCCCCCCCCCTTTTTTTTTTTTCTTTCTTATTATCTACCTCCAATTCTTTACCCC